GTGTCCCCATGGCCACGCCGTGTCCCCCACTGTCCCCATGTCCCCACAGTGTTCCCACCATGTCCCCCGCTGTGTCCCCATTGTGTCCCCCCATTGTGTCCCCACATCCCCACAGTGTCCCCATTGTGTCCCCGTGTCCCCCCATGCCCTGGTGTCCCAGGTGTCCCCACAGTGTCTCCCATTGTGTCCCCATTGTGTCCCTGCGGTGTCCCCACATCCCCGGTGTCCCCACTGTGTCCCCCATTGTGTCCCCATGTCACCATTGTGTCCCCATGGTGTCCCCCCGGTGTCCCCAGTGTCTGCGGTGTCCCCATGTCCCTGCTGTCCCCCATTGTGTCCCCACGTCCCCATTGTGTCCCCACATCCCTGGTGTCTCCCGTTGTGTCCCCATGGTGTCCCCATGTCTCCCAGTGTCCCCATTGTGTCCCCACGTCCCCATGGTGTCCCCATGTCCCCCCCATGTCCCCATTGTGTCCCCACGTCCCCGGTGTCCGCGGTGTCCCTGGTGTCCCCCATGGTGTCCCCATTGTGTCCCCACGTCCCCATGGTGTCCCCATGTCCCCCCCATGTCCCCATTGTGTCCCCACGTCCCCGGTGTCCGCGGTGTCCCTGGTGTCCCCCATGGTGTCCCCATTGTGTCCCCACGTCCCCATGGTGTCCCCACATCCCCATGGTGTCCCCATGTCCCCCGGTGTCCCCGCGGTGTCCCCACGTCCCCGCTGTCGCGGCAGGGGACGGCGAGCGGGCGCTGTCGGCCGAGGAGGAGGAGGCGCGGCGCATCGCCGACATGGGCAAGCCGGTGCTGGGCGACAACCGGCGCCTCGAGGTGGTCATCGAGGAGTCCTACGACTTCAAGGTGACCCTGGGGACACCGAGGGGACACCGGGGGCGGCCGGGGGACGCGGCCTGACGTCCCCGGTGTCCCCAGAACACGGTGGACAAGCTGATGAAGAAAACCAACCTGGCCACCGTCATCGGCACGCACTCGTGGCGCGAGCAGTTCCTGGAGGCCATCACCGTCAGCGCAGGTGGCGCGGGGACGCAGGTGTCCCCGAGGTGTCCCCGAGGTGTCCCCGGTGTCCCCTCAGGGTCCCCTGAGCAGCCACGGTGTCCCCCCACCATCCCCAGGGTCCTCAGGGTCACCGTCAGCACAGGTGGCACCAGGACGCACGTGTCCCCAAGGTGTCCCCAGAGTGTCCCCAAAGTGTCCCCAAGGTGTCTCCAGTGTCCCCAGAGTGGCCCCAAGGTGTCCCCGAGGTGTCCCCGGTGTCCCCTCAGGGTCCTTGAGGTGACACCATCCCCAGGGTCCTCAGGGTCACCGTCAGCGCAGGTGTCCCCAAGGTGTCCCCAAAGTCCTCTTGGTTTCTTCCCACCTTGCCCAGGGTCCCCTTCAGCTGCCACCTTGGTGCCACCACTTTGGGGATCCCAACCTTGGTGCCACCACCCTGATGACCCCAACCCCAGTCCCACCACCCTGGTGACACCAACCTTGATGCCACCACCTTGGGGACCCCAATGCCATCACTGTGGGGCCCCCAACCCTGGTGCCACCACTCTGGTGACCCCAACCCCAGTTCCACCACCTTGGGGACCCCAGTCCCACCACCCTGGTGACCCCAACACTGGCAGTGCCACCACCCCGCTGTCCCCCCCGGGGTGACGCCCCGGCGTCCCCGCAGGCGACGAGGACGAGGACGACGAGGGCCGCGAGGAGCGCTTGCCGTCGTGCTTCGATTACGTCATGCACTTCCTGACGGTGTTCTGGAAGGTTCTGTTCGCCTGCGTGCCCCCCACGGCGCTGCTGGGGGGCTGGGCGGCCTTCGGCGTCTCCATCCTCCTCCTCGCGCTGCTCACCGCCCTCATCGGCGACCTGGCCGCGCACTTCGGCTGCACCCTCGGCCTCAAGGACTCGGTCAACGCCGTCGTCTTCGTGGCGCTGGGCACCTCCATCCCCGGTGAGGGACTCTGGGGACATTGGGGACACCTTGGGGACACCTTGGGGACATTGGAGACACCTTGGGGACATCATGGGGACATTGGAATGAGGGGATGGGATGGGATGGGAGACAGGGACCCTCAGCCTCAAGGACTCGGTCAATGCCATTGTCTTCGTTGCCCTCGGGACCTCCATCCCCAGGGAGGGACGCTGGGGACATTGGGGACATCACAGGGACACAGGGTGGGACCAGGGACAGGGACCCTCGGCCTCAAGGACTTGGTCAATGCTGTCCCCCTCATGTCCTCAATATGGCCAACACCCCCCATGTCCCCAGTGTCCCCAACACCCCCAACACTCCCAACACCGCCAATGCCCCCGCTGTCCCAAACACCCCAATGCCCCCATTGTCCCCAATGTCCCCGCTGTCCCCAACGCCCCAATGTCCCCAATGCCCCCAACGCCCCCACTGTCCCCAACACCCCACCACCCCTATTGTCCCTGCTGTCCCCTCCATCCCCGCTGTCCCTGTGTCCCGTCCCCACCACCCCCCGTGTCCCCGCCGTCCCCAACGCCGCCGTGTCCCCAGACACGTTCGCCAGCCGCGTGGCCGCGCTGCAGGACCCGTGCGCCGACGCGTCCATCGGCAACGTGACGGGCTCCAACGCCGTCAACGTCTTCCTGGGGCTGGGGCTGGCCTGGTCGGTGGCCGCCGTCTACTGGGCGGCGCAGGGCCGGCCGTTCCGCGTGCCGCCGGGCACGCTGGCCTTCCCCGTCACGCTCTTCACCATCTTCGCCTTCCTCGCCATCGGCGTGCTGCTCTGGCGGCGCCGCGCGCCCATCGGCGGCGAGCTGGGGGGGCCCCGCGCCCCCAAAATCCTCACGGCCGGGCTCTTCCTGCTGCTCTGGCTGCTCTACGTGCTCTTCGCCAGCCTGGAGGCCTACTGCCACATCCAGGGGTTCTGATGGGGGGCTGGG